CAAACTTTTTATACATGATATGGACAAAAGTATTGACACACCTGACATTGCACCAACAGATACTTTAATGACATCACATTCTAAATAAAAATGTTATTTTTTCCCAAATTCCGTTTTATTTTTTCCAAGTTCCATTTTTTCCGTTTTAATTTTTATTTTATTCTGTGTTTTCGATTAATTTTCTGGATTCCATTTTAATGGTTTCATAAAATTTTTTAATAATCAAAAGCATATCTAAATAATTGATTTTATATTTAAATTTCAAATAATTATTTATTTATTCTTTCTTTGTTTTCAGAAATATTGTGTTGTGCATTTACATTTTGAATAAATTCTGGTAAATACTTTTTCTGGTAAATATTCCTTTAAAATAATGGTTTAATAATTTTTTTTTTAATTAGTATTAGTACTGTCATTACTTTAAGTAATATAGTTATGTCACAGTTTCTTCAAGTTAAACCAAGCTTTTATTTTGACGGGTTGTTATGAAGACCTTGAAGTTTCTCGGTTTATATGATATGATGATAGTTTTTCTCAAAAGAAACGGTAAAATGCTCATGAAGTGACTCTCAGAGCAGTTCTAGAGATTATGTTTATGTGTTCATGAACTCATATACTGAGGCGGCAGAGAGGCGGCTGAAAACACTGCAAGCATCGTGCACCCTTCAGTATGTGTGTAGTAAACAAAACGTCTGCGCCATTCATTCACACAGAGACACGCAGAACATGCAGGATTCATATTTAAATAGTACTCTACGGCTTAATATTCACCAACACTAGTCCATATTTTGATTTATGTGTACTGACCTACTTTTGATTTATTCATCTAAAATGTAGCAAAATCCGTGACATTCCGCGTTATACAGTAAAATTCTGATTTTATAACTGGATTCCGTGATTCCGTCCGTGTTTTCCGCATCGCAGAAATTATAGAACCTTAATATAACAGCTTCCACTTTTCTGGGAAGGCTTTCCACAAGATTTTATAGTGTTTCTGTGGAAATGTTTGCCTATTCATCCAGTAGAGCATTTGTGAGGTCAGGCACAAAACGTCCTGGCTCTCAATCTCCGTTCCAGGTGTTTGAAGGGGTTGAGGTCAGGGCTCTGTGTGGCCCAGTCAATTTATTCCACACAAGACTCATCCAATAATTTAGGGCACAGTTATGCACAGTCATGGCCTTCCCCAAACTGTTCCCACAAATTTGGAAGTATAGCATTGTCCAAAATGTTTTTTGAAATGTTCTGAAGCATTAACATGTCCCCTCAAAAGTAGGGGGCCTAGCCCCACCCCTGAGAAACAGCCCCATACCATTATCCCTCCTCTATCAAACTTTATAGTTGGCCCAGTACAGTCGGCATGTAATGACATTTTCTGCAACCCTAATTCACTGTGCACAGTATTAATGCATTATACTGTTATTCCACTATTTATCTGTGTATCAGGCTCAGATACATTTGTTGAAGTGGGCATGCCCAGAAGCCCGTCTCACTCAGCCAATGGGAGTGAACTAAAGCAGATGCTGGCCTCTTGCACTGTGTCATCAGGAAAACGACAAACGGTGGAACTTCTGCAGAGAACCAAGAACTCACTTCTTCAGTATGTTTAATCATAAAATGACCTTACATCATCATGGCAATTCAGTTATGTTTTTTTATTTATGGTTACACTGCAGCTGTAACGTGCTCCTTCAATTTTCTTTGTGTGTGTGTGTGTGCACAGTGTTGAGTGTGTGTTGGCCGATTCTGATAGTGAGAATCCAGTGGCTGACAAAAGAGCACCAGGAAGCGAGAGAGCTGCAGAAAGACGACTTGCACCACATATGCAGGTTTATATACACATACACACACGTTGCACTCACATACAAGTGTACACAAACTAAAACATATTCACACTGTCATTGTTTATCAATGTTTTTCAGGCTTTTGACTATGAGAAAAAGAAGCTACTGGCCACTAAAGGTGAGCATAGACTTGATCTTTTAATTTAACAACCTAATGTGAAAACAGACATAAAATAACATCTGAATATAAGATCACTAGTTAGGTTGTGGTTAAACAATTGTGTTGTTTTTGTATAGCCATGCTGAAGAAGCCAGTTGAGACGGAGATTCGGACCCCCACAAATACCTGGAGCGGGTTGGGTTTCTCTAAATCAATGCCAGCGGAGAGCATGAAAGAGCTGCGCAGGGCACACCATGTGCCGTATAAACCCAGCATAAGCACTACTTATGAGGTACAAACTCACCGGTGCAGCATAAATCTAGTTCAGTTTATATGAAGCTGCTCTCTTCAAAAATGATTAGAAAAAGCAGGGTTTCGAAGTTGCTTTTTGTGTATATGGTTTCAGGACTCTCATCTCTCTGTCTCACACTCTGGGAGTCATGAGGGTTTGGGTAATGACACCAAATCCGGTAATTGGGGGGATTTGAATGGGAATGTTAACATCAATGGAAACGGACTGCCAGGAAATTCTGAATTTTCCCCTGCTGTCAGCAGCCCAAAGAGAATCAAGAACAAATCTTGTAAGACTAAAGATTTTGCACTTCGAAACACAAAGCGATAAATTTACTGCCTACTGATTAGTTGTGTCTTAAACTTTATCTGTGTGTTTGGGTCAGTAGGTGAGCAGTATCTCAGCAGCAGTAATTATATGGACAGTATCTCTATGTCTGGCAGCAATGGCTGCTCTCTCAGTTCATCTTTCAAAGGAACAGATCTCCCTGAGCTATTCAGCAAACTCGGTCTCGGCAAATACACAGACATCTTCCAGCAGCAGGAGGTAATTCATTAATTCATTGTTTGAGGAATGAATTTAGATGCGTCTGCAATCATCACTCAAAAAATGTTAACGAAGTGTTCATTTTTTATATTAAAATGTTTTGGTAAAATATATATTTGTAACGAATCAGTCCACTGAAGGCGAGCGTAGTGAGAACCCAAGTGCAGTTTTATTCAAACAAGGTGAAATCCAAAATCCAAACAAGATACACAGACTTGATTTGACGAGGCATGAACAGACTTGACGTGGCATGAACAGACTAGACTCACCGACAGCGGGTTACAACATCAATACACGACAAGAGACAATGGCAACTTGATGGCTACTTATAGCAAACAAACTTTTGGGAAGTGTCATGTTCATCCTCCACGACACCCACATTGAATGGTGAATCAGCCAGCAACAGGGCAAAGTTAATGTATTTTTCTAATGACCAGTGTGGGGTATTACGTGGCATTAAACTTGAGATGCTTTTGTCCAAACCAAAACAGTGGATAGAACATGACACATGCACAAGGCAGAGATACATGAGGGCAAGGGAAGCATGACACTGAGAGCATGAAACAATTACAAAATAAAAGACATGAAAACATGAACATGAAACAAAACCCAAACACCAAACCCCACATTACAATATTTAGGCAGATATGGATATTTACATAGTGTCATATTGGTGAATTAAAATAAAATGATTAAATATTATTCTTTCTTGTGTTCATTTAGTACAAGCAGTGTGGAAAACATGCCTTGATTATTTTGAGTAATTTTTTTAATTGCATAAACATTTTAAATCTATAAGTAAGGAAATAAATTAAGAAGCTTTGCTAGTTCAGCTTGCAAGCACTGTAATTGGAAAAATGTGGATTAGTGGATTTATTTGTGGGTTTTGTAAATGTTAATGTATATGAGTATGTCTGTGTTATGGTCTAATAGATTGATCTGCAAACATTTGTCACACTAACGGATCCAGACCTAAGGGAACTGGGAATCACAACATTTGGTGCTCGCCGGAAAATGTTACTGGCGATCTCAGGTCAGTAAGCTTTGTGTTTATATCTAAGCTACAGATCAACAGGAAAAAAAAGATAAACCAAAATAAAGGATGTGGAAAGAATAGGATGTGATGTCACTGCTTTGTAAAGTAAGCAATTTCTTCCAAGATGACCTTTCATAGATTCACAGTCTATACAAAATTGGAATACTATATAGTATCTTTACTCTGAACATAGTGAGCAGCCTACCTAGACATCGCTTAAAAATGCTGTCATCATTTACTTGTGTGTGATGTGTGTTGGTGACTGTTAAAAGAGTATCTACCTATGTAGAGTGTTTCAAATAAGTAACTTATAAAGTTCCACTTTAGTTAGGATGCTGCCTTAGAATACAGCTGCCTATATGTAGGGAGAGAGGCAGCTCATTAGGCCTAAACAAAGCTCATGTGTTTACTTAACGGATTACTGATGATATTTGAATGTCTCCTCAGAGCTGAATAAGAGCAGGAGGAAGCTCTTTGAGACACCCAACATTTGCTCCTCCTTCCTAGAAGGCGGGGCCAGCGGTCGTCTGTCGCGCCAGTTCCACTCGGACATGGCGAGCATCAGTGGTCGCTGGTGATCTCTTACCTGCGGGAATGTGGACCATAAACCACTTCATACTGGACTGGACTGATTGATACAGAAAGGCATAAAGTGATGCAGATTCTCTCACATCTAAAAAATAATGTGGGGAGATGTTAAGTTTGCTTTTTGTGCCTAAAATATATGGAAGGGAATTTATTCATTATTGTTAAGCGAATGTGCCATTAATGTTGTCTTGCATTTACTCTGGGTGAACAGGCAAAGCACAGAGTTAAAAACTAACCGTACTGTTAGCAAGAGCGCTTCAGTATTGGTGTCTAGCACTTTAATCTGTAAACTCTGCTGTTTTTGCCGGTGGGTTGTATGCAGTGTCTGTCTTTTGTAACATCGGACTGTCCAGTGTCAGAGTCAAATGCGTGCACTTATTTAGCAGGTATTTCCAGATCACACACAAAGGTCATCTGCTTGGTAATCACAACCAGCTGATGCTCATGTTGTTTACCAGACTGTTATATTCATGTTCAGTTTAATTACTCATTGGTCATTGTGGTATTGTCGTATTTTAAATCTATTTTATTTTATAGTTTCATTATGTTCTCATATTTTATGTTAATCTTTTAAAAGGCATTATCAGTTTACTTTTTTATTGTTTTGGTTCTTTTTTGACATCATTTGTTTTTATTGTTTAATCTGTGGTCTGATTTGTCAGAACGTGTAATAGTCATCTCAAACAGATGTCAGTCATTTTAGGTGTAAATAAGTATTTTCTGAAAGAATAGGGTTGGAAATATTATCCATAAAATTCCACTGATTTGTTTAGCAAAATCTGTTTAATCAGTATTTACATTTTACGTGTAGCACAGACATCAGATTTAAGCTGCATTAGGTACTTTTCTAGTCAAAGTGGGGTGTTTGTTGAAAGTTTGATGTTGGCATGTACAGTATAATGGGATATGTTTCCTTCGTACGTGCAAACGTTATGTATCTGGCAGGTGTTTTTCAGGTTTGTGTGCATAAGTATGTATGTTTGTACTTATCCTTTACTCATAGCTCAGTCATAAATTAAACTCAAGGGCTACTGTTGATAAATTTCTGATTTTTCAAATACTTGTTTTTGACCAGCAATTACTTTTTTTAATCATTCTGTAAAGTTTTTTTGTTGTTCTTCTTTTTCAACCTGACCGTGTATATCAATAGAAGCGTTCACAGTAAATCAGTGTTACCTGGTCTTTAATTTGTTTACATTTATGTTAGATTTGTAGTATATTTACGGTACAGCCTATACTAAGAAGAATGTATAATGCATTGAAAGAGCTTTTTGAAACCATCTATTGGTAAATACATAAGAAACCATGCTAATCTCCTTTTTTGTTTGTTAGTTTTTTTTTTAATGGAAGGAAAATAATGACAGTTTCTGAAATATTGCACAGAATGCTTGTGGTACTCTTGTATTATTGCTCAGTGATATTATTAACTGCGTGATTGTAGGTCCAAAGTGAAAATCTCATAAGATTCATGTGCAAAATATGGACTTTTCAGAGATAAAATTCCTCACCGCTGTGGAACCAGTGTATATGGTTACTGAGCTGTGTTTGTGGTCAAGATTCATATTGTTTTCTTTGCATCTGTCAAATCATGTGTGTTCATTCAGTTATTTCCTCTCTTCACCTGAAATAACTTCACTGTTTGAAGTGTGTCATTTTTTTTTTTTTTTGTCTTTTCTGGGGAACAACTGTGTTGTTCGGCCATTCTAATTGTGCTTCCTCCTGGAGTGGAGCATTATGGGAGAAATGTTTTTGTTTTGGATGTGACTCTGGCATTTGTATCACATTTAAATCTTTGACAAAGGGAACAATGTTCATGTTTTTGTCTTGTAAGAATGTTCTGTATATCCAAATCAGTGTCTCTTAAAATGGACAGAAGCCATTTGCTGCCTGATTTTGAGTGTTGCCAGAGTATTCCTCTCTGAATGTAACAAAAAAAGGATTTAAAGTTAACTTCACTGTTTGAAGTGTGTCATTTTTTTTTTTTTTGTCTTTTCTGAGGGAACAACTGTGTTGTTCGGCCATTCTAATTGTGCTTCCTCCTGGAGTGGAGCATTATGGGAGAAATGTTTTTGTTTTGGATGTGACTCTGGCATTTGTATCACATTTAAATCTTTGACAAAGGGAACAATGTTCATGTTTTTGTCTTGTAAGAATGTTCTGTATATCCAAATCAGTGTCTCTTAAAATGGACAGAAGCCATTTGCTGCCTGATTTTGAGTGTTGCCAGAGTATTCCTCTCTGAATGTAACAAAAAAAGGATTTAAAGTAAAAGGGAAAGAACAAAAATATTTGAAATGTTTGCCACTGATTTGTGGTTTTGTTCTAGAAAATAAAAATGTTTGCAAGCCAAATCAAATTTGTTTTATATTATGTATTATAAATCCATAGTAGTTCAACATAAGCTATAATTTATTTAGGTACACAATCAAATCAAAGAGAGGGAGTGAAAAGGTATAAATGTGTGGTTGTTGTCTGATGAATGCAGATAAAATGAGACTAACTGGCCAAGTTAAGACCGTAAGAGCACATTTAGGGTTGATGATAATAGCAATCTACAGTGGCACTGAAACCGAAAAATCACTATCCGCTTCACACATCTCAAAGGACACAGACAGGCACTTCTCTTTTGAATATAATAGCAAAGACATGGGTAATTATGTGTGATTTTATGGTGTGTTTTGCATATCAGTGTACATCTGCATCTAAATAGGGAAACCGCAGGAACTGAGTGTGTGTGTGTGTGTGTGTGTGTGTGTGTGTGTGTGTGTGTGTGTGTGTG